TGTAAAGATTTTTAAAGAAGAGTAAAGTTAACTAAGTTATATGCTTTACTTATATCATGAAATAAAAGCCAGATTGGTTTGTTGTTGCATAATGCATCTTCAATAAGATTATTAAGTATATAAATTGATATAAATATGCTATTGATAGATAAAGCTACATAATTGTATGATGAAAGTATTGAATATTGAAAAAACACAGTAATGATTCTAATAGTAATAATTTTTGTATAAACTTTTTGAATATGTTTGATAAGACTAATAGGATGAGTGAGACTTAAATTACTATTAAATGTATTATGTTTTGGAATCAGAAAAATTCTACTATATTTCCATTATTGAGAATTTGATCTAAGTTAAAGCAATAATTAAATAAAACTATAATAGCTTTAATACAAGTAGTACCTAAATGTTTAAGCATTTTATAGCTGATGTTTGTAGGTTCACAGGCTTTTTTATTAGAAAGTTTTGACAAGATTTTAAGAACTTCTTTTTCTGTAAAAGAAGAGTTAAGAGAGCTGTATCGTTGTGTATTGATGTGTAGTTGTAGTTGATAATATATATGCCAGAAGCTGTCAAACATTGCTTGGCCAATTGGTTGATATGCAGTTCAGTCATAAAAGTAAGATTGTATATTGTAATATTAGATATCATGATCAATTATATAAAAAATACACAAAATGCATTAAGTTATATTTGTAATCAAAAACAGTATTATATATGCAAAGGAGTAGTATAGAAGAATGTAAGAAAAAATTAAAATTCTTAAAGAAATAAAATAGTACTAAAAAATTAAATAAGTAATTGTAAATAAAATTAGATAGTCTTAAAATAATAATAAATGTGAAGTTACATTTGTAAGTAATGAATTCATTAATATAAATAAAGACTAAAATGGACTTTAGAAGCATTATGCTTTGTTGGCTTTATTAAAATACAAGTTCCAATACATTATAATATCTATAATAAAATACTAATACTATTTCAGTATAAACTCTATAAACTCTTATAAACTTCATTATTTGTGCAAGTTTTTGTTCACATAACTTAATCTATTTGTATTTATTAACCTAAAATAACTAAAAGCCTTAATCACCTGTTAGCCAAATCTAATATTCTCTTTTGTAAAGATTATCTATTATATATTACATGATATTTAGAATTGTAAAGTGACAGAGTTACAATTATCTGAATACAACAATATGTTGTTTTATAAGTTTGAGATCTGTAATAAGTTGTTAGAAAGTTTAATATTAAAAAAGTGAATAGAAGCTTTATATTAATTAAAAATACTGTTAATGTCTTGTTTAGAGTATGTTGAAAGTGTTTCACATCTTTTTTCAGTTACTTGTTGAATTTGTTAACAAAGTAATAATGAGTTTTTTGTATAATAAACATAATATAGTTGTTTTCAGATATCTTGTGCATGTTGGATCTATATATAAATTTGAAAGTGGTCATCTGAATTAAGAGTTTAAAGGTCACAATAGAATCTGTCATTAATAATCTTAATCTAAAGTTTATTATATTCATGTTGAGGTTATTATAGGTGTTTTTGACAATTTTTAGTAAATGTTTAAGCTCTTTAAGTAATATGTAAAGTAAAGTAAAGTACAAGAAATATTGATGGTTGTAGCTATATTTATAAGTTTTTTTGTTAAAAATAAAGTGTATTGCAGTATTAATTATTAAATGTTTAATCTTATATTAGATGAATTTAATGCTTTTATTAGTATTGCTATTAAGTGATATATTGTAAAGACTGAAATTGTAAGAGAAAAGATCAGAAAATTCTGTTTATTTATTAGTTAGCATAGCTTTATAGTTAAATATTCTATGACTAATACTAGTATAATAACATGAAAGTTTGCTATATGCATTAGTAAAAGTTTAGATAGATATTAAAATAGAATAGTTACTAAGTATTGAGATATCACTATTATTAAGTTTGTAAAAAAAAAAGAATTAGATGTTAAATGAATCAGTCCAGATATAGTTGATGCAGCTATAACTAGTATTATTTAATCATATAAAGTGCTTGTTATCAACATGTGCATCAAGATTAAATATATTGAAGTAGTGTAAATAATTAATAAGCTTGAATTTAAATAATAAGCTACAAATATTATTGTATATATTATTAGATGAAGATTGTGTTGAAAAGCTTGTTAGATCTATATAATAACAGTATTTTGTATGTTGTTACATTTTTGCATATTAGTAGAAGAAAAATAGATAGCTATAATTTGAAGTTTAATTTTGCTTTTAAAAAAAGATTTAAAGTAATTGCTTCATTAGGATATGTTTGGCAATTGTGTACATGTAATTGTAGGTGTTTTTGGATCATAATAGCAGCATTTTCTGTTAAGCTTTCTGAGTTGGCCTAGAAGTAAGTAAATAGGTTGTTATTGTAAAATTGAAGATTAGTATTATTAGTGATTTTGGTTTCAGTAATACAAGAAATGTAAACATTATTGTAAAGCCAATAATTTTGCCAAGCTACTTTTTTAGTTACTGTGTTATAACCTCTAACATTATATACAAATGTTTAAATAAAAGTTATATAAAGCTGTATAGATGTAGATACTTGTATTATAGTATAATTGTTAAAAAATAAGTTAGATAGAATGGAAGTAGAATTAGAGAAATTTGATCTGAGAGAAAAGTTGTAAAAGATAAGAAAAAGATAAAGATGAATGACAATATGATTGGATAAAAGAGAGTTATTTGAAAGATATATAGAGGTTTCATGATAGATATTACTAACAAAAAAAGTAATAATATAGACAGTGTTATTGTGGTTATATTTGTTAATATAAGTTGTAATAAAGAAGAAATTTGTTAAAACATATATAAAGATCATAGAGGTTTAAAGATATTAAAAATGATCTTTTAAGGTTGTCTTCTACAGAGTTGATTACTATATGTTTAGCTCTTATAGCTGTGTAAGGTACTATAGTCTGTCCTGTATATTGGGTCTAATTGTTATAATCTTGGCCTTTTATATATAAAGACTTGACTATCTGCTTCTATATATTATTTTTTCTTATTAATTATAATAGGTTGTATCTTTTAGTAAGACAGCAACTGCATTTATGTATTTGTAGAAGATGCTCAGTTTGTGTATATTTTTGTTTATTGTTTGTATAGTGATAATATCAGATAACCTATGCAGTTCTTATTTTGCATGTTTATACTAACTTTTATATAGTTTTATCTTGTGTTTACACTGACTATTTTACAATGTTCAGGGGTACATTTATGTATATTAGCTTGTATTTCTCTATATTCCTAATTGAAAACTCCTTGCAATTATGAGCTTTCAGATATGAACACCATACTTAGGACTTTTCAAGTGGTTTTCCTAATTAGTGTTCTTGTAGATTTTTTAACACAGATCTACTGTAATCTAATATAAATTTATTTTGTATTTATACTAACTATTTTATAATATTTAGAAATACATATATATATTAGCTTGTATTCTTTCATATTTCTAATTAGAAACTCTTTGCAGTTATGAGCTTCAAATATGAATGCCACAATACAGATCATTGCAGATATGTTACCACTAATTATAGCCAATAAGCCAATATTTCTAATTAAATCAACATATCAATTAAAACATACAAGATTTTATATTTAATATTTATCACCAGTAGGAATTGAACCTTAGACCTTGTTATTTGAGATGCAACAACTTGACCACTTTACTAAGTTACAAATAACTACATTGCCAAAATATAGGTTTACAAATATTTTTAATAAAAGTTCTAGTAAAGTTTTTTATAAAATGTTAATTTTAAAACAAATATAATATAAGTTATAAATATTAGTATAATTTTTTTTTTTTTGCTTTTGCTAAAGCTGTAGTTATCAGTGGCTATTGCCTTTATTGTATTTTAATTATGATTATATAACTTGTACAAAATGAGTATATGACTAGCTACATGTACAACTTTTGGTTATCTAATTTAAGTAGTCCATCTACTGTGAACATTATTATTCCTCTGTAGTGCTAAAAACTAGTCTAACTTAGTCATGGCTGAATGGAAACTTAATTGCAGATTACACTAATTCAAACAGAATTCTTTCTTTACATCCTACTTGGCAGGCTTCAATTGAGGCATGAATTGATTTGGTTTGAGATTAGGATGTCTCTGAGTACTATGGCAGTTATGTGAACGTTGGTAAGTCTTCTTCTAATAATTGAATCTGAGGCTTTTATATTAATACTAATACTGTTTGCTATTATTAGGTCTTTACTATTACTATAGACTGGTCTCTGTTATTGTTCAACTGCCTAGGTTTCAAACTGCATTCAGGTTTTGAATTTCAAGATCATGTGTCATGGGACTACGATTTTGTGTAATTATGTATATAAGTTTATTCAACAATAGGGTTAATCACAAACTTAATCAATTTAACAATTTTTATATAAAAGGAGGGTTGATTACTAATAAGATCTTTCTTTTTTACTTTTAGTGAACTATCGATGACAGGTTTTTTACTAATCATGAAGACAAGACAATATGATAAAATGAATACTATAAACAAATAGAAGTATTTAAGGAACTACTAGCATTATTATTTAGTAGTTACAAACTCAAAAGGAAAGTTATCTTTATTGTAAGCAAACTGTTGAACCTTTTTATATATTTTCTTTACTACCAATTTTTCTAACGTATCTACTTGATCTATCCTATATACCAGGTCTGCTTTTTCTATGCTTTCTGCTAAATCTGCTATATCTGGCAGATTTGGCAGATTTACATCGATCCTGGTTACATTGATCTGAGCTATTTCAGTGCTTATCATCAACTATTTTCCTTTTCACAATTTATCTGGCCTTGTTTTCGAATTCTATAAAAATATAACCCCAATAATTTCAGCAAATAATAATAATAGAATAAGAAAAGAGAAAAAAAGACAGAGAAGAAAAAAAAAGAAGAAAAAAAAAATTTAAATTTAAAAGAAGTTGTTTTTTTTTTTTTTGCTTTTGCTTATAGAAGGTCACTAAGTCTACTCTCCAGGTGATCATCTAGCAAGATACTTACATTTGTGGAAGCAGCCAAGCTAGCTGTTAATGCTGCTTGAACTAGCTGTTGATAGTCATGGTGTGATAAAGTAGCGATCTTGAACAAATTTATATAGATAGTACAGCAAATCTGTTCAATGCCAAGAAATTCAAACATATTATAGACATGAATAATGGCAGTATAATAATGTTTAGTCATTTTTGCTTTTTGTAGGGTTTGTTGAGCTGGTGTTAAATGTTCAATTAGAGCACTATGATAGTATGCATAAGTCAAAGCTCCAATATAGTTTCCTGTTAATGTGGACTACAGCATTAATTAATAGGTTAGCCCCATTTTAGTTTCGACCTTTTCTAAGTCTACATATGGTAGGGGAATTGGGGCTATGATCATTAGTTGTATTGCTAATAGATCATTAATAAATAGGTTGATGTCTGTAAGCATTTTTGGTTTTAAAATAGTGGGCTTGATTCGTTTGTTGTACCTTTATTTATATCTTTCCTGTTATAATAAAGTTTTAACAATTTTTTATTTAATAGGTGTACTAATACTTTTCCTTCTACTGTTTTTAGTTTATAGACACCATTTCTGAGAATGTTATGTATGTAATAAGGTTCCTTTCATTGTAGGACTAGCTTATGGCTTCACGTACCCATTGTTCTTGCATTATAGGCAAATACTTTATCTCTAATGCTAAAGTCAGATGTGGCTTTCACTCATTGATCATAACCTTCCTTTTGTCTCTGTTGATGGGCTTTAATACAGTTAAGGGCTTGCGATCTGATTTGAGGTAGATCATTTTTTATCTCATATATTCACTGCATAATTGTTCTATTCAGCAAGTCACTTAACTCACTTGGGTGAATAGGTAGTTTGGCACTCTTTTCATATAGAAGAAAAAATGGCATCTGTTAAGTAATATGATGCCTGGCTATTCTAAAGATGAATAATACTAATAAGATCAATAAATTCCAATCAGTAACATTCTTAACAAGCTTTGCAATTAAAGTACATAGGGATTTGTTAAATCTTTCAATAAGCCCATTGGTCTAAGAGTGATATGGGCTCGAATACTGGTGCTTGATTTGTAAGAATACGAGTAAATTATTAACAAGATTATTTTTAAAATAAGAGCCTTTATCAGACAAAAGATATGTGGAGCATCCATGATGGCATATGATTTTTTGTAGATAAACTTAGCCACTTCACCTGCATTATTCTTAGGTATTGTGTGAGCTTTAGACCATTTTGTCATATAATCAGTAGCTACAACAATATAATGATTTAATCATGGCATTTTGGGTAAAGGGCTGACTATATCTATACCTATTCTATGAAATAGGGCTCCTACTGGGACAGGATGTAATAATTTTTTAGATTTTCATTTTTCTTGCTATTGACAATATTCATATTATCTAATATATCATTTTATATCATCATACATTTGTGGCTAGTAATAGTAGATTCGAATTTTGTTGAACACTATCTCTGTTTCCAGATGTGCTCCTATAGGATAGTTATAGATTTAGGCCATTATAGGTTCTACTTCATTTTTTTGAAGGACTTTTAACAAGTGTTTCTTTGCTGACAATCCTTTTTATATAGGCTACCCTCTTTTACAACAAAAAAAGACCTTGTGTTGCTAGCCACTTATATTGGTCTTTAGAGTAGTATAGTAGAAATTGTTTGTATTGTACATAATTTTTCAAAATAGTGTATTGGTGCTAATCCATGTTCTAATTGCTTAATTTATTTATTAATAATACAGAATACTGACAACATGGACTGTATTAAGTTTTACGTTGAGTTTGAGTATGCTGATCGTTACTTTAAGTGTGGCTTGTTTATTCTCTTCATGCTGTGTGCCTTTATTGTCACTTATCATTTTACATTTCTTTTCTTGAGTTAGAAATAAGTTCATCTTTTTCAATTTCAATTTTGTATTCCAATTGTTGGCTATTGTATTGCTAGTTTATTTGGACCTTTGGCATTTTGGTTAGAACTCCACAACTCACTCTATCCTATTCTGTCCAGCCATACTCTATTGTCGGGTCTATTTAAGCTAAGTTTTTTTTTTGATTTTTTTTTAGTGTTATAATAATCTATTTTATTCTAACAATCCCAATCCATATTATCTCTAATGGGTGACAACCCTTCGAGATCTTCAGGGTCAATTCTAGAGTCAAAGAACATTCCTTTTTCAATATTAGTATTCTACCAGCATGTACTATAGCCTAGTTGAAAGTTATAAGCATTTCCTAGGAGATAATACTTAGCAATTACATGATAAACCTCTATTACAGCTTCATTGACTAGAGTTTCTTCAGGATCGTAGTGTTGCTAGTTTGTATCTTTCCTATTCTCTTCTTTTGTAATCATTCTGGAAAGTGTGTTAGCATTATTGTATTTGTGCCTTGCCTAATAAAATATAGTAAAATGATAGGATTGGAGTCACAAAATCCATTGGGCCCTACACCCCTTTGGTATGTTAGATTGTAACTATTTTAATGTAGCATAATTGGTTACAATCACAAAAGGTTTATATTCAAAGTAATAATGAAAGTGTTCTACAGCCCAAACTACAGTATAACACTCTAATTCAGTGGTTGTGTAGTTTCGCTTAGCCTTGGTTAAGCTTTTGCTAATATAGGCAATTGCATATTCCCTTTTATCTTTACCTTTTTGTGTAGAACAGCACTAAGCCCTACCCCAGAAGCGTCAGTATGGAGGTAGAAAATTTTTGAAAAATCTGGGTATCTTAAAACTAGAGCAGTTGTTAGAAATGTCTTTAACACTTAAAATACCTGTTCTTGGGGCTCATTTTATTCATATTTGGCTCCCTTTTCTAAGAGTTGGTGTAAGGACTTAGCTATTGTCATGAATTTTTGTATGAAGTAACAATAGTATGAGGCAAGCCTAATTAATCCCCTTAATTGTCTCAGATTAGTTGGGGTGAAGAATTCTTTGACTTTTACAATTTTCTTTGGGTCTGGCTTTCTTCTGTTCTTTTCTACTATATGGCCTAGAAAACGAATATTAGTTTTAAACATTTTACACTTTTTTGAGTTAGGCTTCAACCTAGCAGTTTTAATTTTCATGATGACTTGTTGTATATGGCTTAAATAATCTTGATAAATTGTTGAATAAATAATTATATTATCCAAATAGACTGCAATAAATTGACTTACGAATTCTTCTAAAATACTATTCATAGTATATTGAAAGGTTGCTAAAACATTGCACAAGCTGAACAGCATTACTCAGAAGACATAAATCTCCTGTTTAGTAATGAATGCTATCTTATTCTGATCTTCTGGTTTTACTCCTATCTGCCAGTGCCTACTAGCCAAATCAAGACTAGAGAACCAGCTTGCATTAACGAATGCCTCTAATAGGTTATCAATTCTAGGTACCAGATATACATCTTTTTTTTGTAACAGCATTTAACTTACGATAGTCTACACATAACTTTAGTTTCCTATTCTTTTTTAGGACTATTATGACAGAAGAGGCCCAGACTTTTGACCTTATATATTAGACCATTGTCAAGTAGATTTTTTATTTTTTGGTTTAAGAACTCTTGTTCATCAGAGGCTATCCTATAAGTGACTTGCTTAATTGGCTTAGTGTCTTCAGTATCTATTTCATGTTGTATTCCAGCAGCATACCTCAGCTTATCTAATCTGGTTGAGAATAGGTCACTGTAATTTTTTAAGATAAGTATGACTTCAGTTTTCTGTTTTTTACTTAAGATGTCTGTTTGTACTAATGCTTGAATAGCTTCTTCTAGTGTTAATTCAGGTTTATTGACTTTCTCATAAGTCAGAAACTCTTCAACTGCAGTTATGTAGATGGCAGGACTGTATATATTTACCCAGGAGTTAGTGTATAAGTTATCTTCTTCATCTGTTATAGCTTCATCAGTGTAGTAACTTTTCACTTTCACAATTTCTTCCTTTTTATAGTGATTAAAGAAATTATCCTTATCGCTAAAGGTTTTCAGAGGCTCTACTTTCTTTGCTTGAAAAATGGGCACTTTCAAGCTTTTATCCAGGTATCTCAAGAACAATTTTCCTTTGCCAAAATGAAGGTAGGCATGAACTTTCTAAAACTAATTAATCCCTAAAAGAATTACTTCCTTAGAATTTTCAATTATCTGAAAAGTAGTAGGCATCATTATGCTTCCAATAGCCAGTTTTACATCAGGTATTTTACCCAGCGCATGTTTTCTAGCACAATTCATGATGGTGACTATGGTGTTGGAGGGTTCTGTAATTTTAAGGTTCAACTTTCTTACCAATATTTTTGAGATAATACTAATTGCAGCTTCAGAGTTCAGTATAACTAAAATCGTTTGTTTTGCACCTTTACATAACATTTAGCAGCCATAGATTTTCTGTTAGTTTGACTTTCTGCAATATTTGTTTCTTCTGCTTGCAGGAGAAGGGGTCTTTACATTACTTGTGAGAGATTACTTCATTGTTTTGGTATTTGAAGTAGCTGCACATATGTCGCATTGGCATACTGATTTAGTAAATCATCTGCAATATTGTATAGTAATGTTAGGTCGATTACAGAGGGTCCTTGTTTTTGTTTGGGATGGTTTACTGTGGTTTGTTGGGGTTAGGTTGGGGTTTGAACTTGTTTATCAGTAACTTCTTCCATAGGAATCAATTGGTCAATTTGACCTTGTTCTTGGTTGATTCTACTTCTTAGCCTTTTATTTCAATTAAGATCAACTTCTCATTTGGGCCTTTCAGTCCGGTCAGTAGTATAAAGTTGGTGTTGATTTTGTGCATATTGTTGATGATGCATAGCAGTAAAAACCTTTTCATTAAGGCCTGAAACATAGATATCACACAAGTTAACATTAGGCCATGATGTTATTCGGTTTGAGGTAGAGGTTGCTGTCTGAATTTGATATCATTTAGACAAACAGTTTCAGGCAATATGGCCTCTTTTTCTATAGTTGAAGCATACAATATTTCTGTTTGTCAATGACTGGAATTGGTTTGTCTACATGGGAGTTGTTGAGAAGGGGTTTCTATTCTGGCAGCTAGAGTGATAGTCAACTTTTTATAATTAATGCCATCTGGTATATTTTTTGACTCAGGTCATCAAGCAATTTTGCAGAAGGTTTATTTTTATTTTTTCTGTTTTTATAGTAGTTACCAGCCTTTACTTTTCTTGCTATGGCAATTGCTTCCTCTAACATTTCAGGGTCATTGATGGATATTAATGCTGCTGTTTTACCATGAAGTTCTCCTAAAAACATTCTAACTATATAGGTATCAGGTAGGTCATGATCTGGGTTGACTCTCTTTAATAGTTTCTTGAATTTGTATACATATTTATTGACCTTTTCATTCTCATTTTGAGCTAGTATGTTTAATTTGATTTGCTACTGATGCTTACATTCTGGCATTATGAAATATTTCATAAATGATTGTACAAAACTATCAGCTGGTTATTCTCATTGTCCCAAAACAAGAGGTTTTCTTTTTTATCATTGTACCAACTGGCTGCAATTTCTAACAAGTGCCCTGATGCTATCTTTATTTTTCTTCTCAAGGTCCAATTATTCGCATTGGTGGCTTGCTCAAATGCTTTGATCCATTTAATAGGATCTTCATCTTCTTTATCCTTAAACATTTTTACATGTACCCAATTGTTTTTATAGTTGCTTGGTCGAATGTTATATATCACCATCTCCCTAAATATCTGGACTATCTCTCTAAGCAGGTCATGAACTTGGTTGAAATTGTTTTAAGGTTCAAGATTTGCTTGTTGATCATATGGATTGTTGGGCCTGTCCTCAATAATAGTTTTATTATCTTCAAATTGGTCTAAGTCTGACATATTTTTATTTTTTATATATATCATATTAAGAAAAGCAAAGATAAATTATCAAATAATAGTTATGATTATAGTTGGTTGGTTGAGTTTTAATCTCACAATTACTACCAAATGTGAACATTATTATTTCTCTATAGTGCTAAAAACTATTCTAACTTGGTTATAGCTGAATAGGAACTTAATTGCAGATTACACTAATTCAAACAGAATTTTTTTTTTACACTCTACTTGACAGGCTTCGATTGAGGCATGAATCGATTTGGTCTAAGATTAGAGTGTCTCTGGGTACTATAGCAGTCATGTGAATGTTGGTAAGTCTTCCTTTTACAATTGAACCTGAGGCTTTTATATTAATACTAATACTGTTTGCTATTATTAGGTCTTTACTATTACTATAGACTGGTCTCTGTTATTGTTCAACTGCGTCTGGGTTTCAAACTGTGTTTGGGTTTCAAATTTTAAGTTTATGTGTCATGGGATCATTATTCAGTGTGATTATATATGTAAGTTTATTTAACAATAAGGTTAATCACAAACTTAATTAATTTAACAATTTTTATATAAAAGAAGGTTAATTACTAATAAGATCTTTCTCTTTTACTTTTAGTGAACTATTGATGATGGGTCTTTTACTAATCATAGGAACAAAACAATATGATAAAATAAATACTATAAATGCATAGAGGTATTTAAGGGACTACTACTACTATTATTTAGTAGTTTCGAACTCAAAAAGGAAGTTATCTTTATTGCAAGCAAACTGTTGAACCTTTTTATATTTTTTTTTACTACCAATTTTTATACATTTTCTTTACTACCAATTTTTCTAACATATCTACTTGATCTATCCTATATAGCAGATTTGCTTTTTCTACCCTTTTTGCTAAATCTGCTATATCTGGCAGATTTGGCAGATTTATATCGATTCTGGTTACATTGATCTGAGCTATTTTGGTGCTGATCATTAACTATTTTTCTTTCTACATCATATAGCAGATTCTACACTAGCTGCCATACCTGCAATTTACTAGGAAATTACTGATTTAAACACTCTGATCTCTATACTTATACTGACAAATAGCACACAAGTTCTCATACATCTAAGTGCTGTCTAACCTAACTGTGACCTTCCTGTCTGTATATGCATCAAGCTGTTACATATTTCAGAGTATATCACCTAACTTGTAAGGCTCCAGGAGGCCCCTCTGCTAACTAACTACTCATATTTAGTAACTTGTTTACAGAGCTTGCCTTTGCAGAGTTTATTCAGACCTCAGCACTAACTTTATAGCATATCTCTAGTACTTTAGTATACCCCTGTTTCCAACCTTAGACTTCTAATCCAGATAGCCCAGTAGGACTGTGACCTGTTCCTAGTACTTTAGAGTCTGCCCTCAAAGATCCTTTTCCTTCAGTTTGAGACTTCTGGCAGTCTGGTTGGTGGTACCTTTTCCTTAGGTTCTTGCCCACCCAATTTCTTCCACATTGGTATCTGTTTCCTAGGTTTAGCCTTTACAGTAGTACTGTTAAAAATCCATGTTACCTTTCTACTTGGGTTTTCTTAAGTGGGCTCCAGTTTTTCCAGTTCACAGATTTATATAGCCACAAGGACTTATCTTGGGTTTGTACTGTCTGATGTTATTTAGCATTCCTCTGTATAAATCCAATATTGCACAGATGCCCTATATCCTGCCAGTTATCTGGTGCGACCATGTTACAGATACTAATCCCAACTGATTGACAGATTGCTGTTGTTGTAATATCAGTTTCAAGAACTTATCTTGTATTTGCACTGCCCAATCAAGTTTGCATTCCTCTGTATAACTCTAGTATTGCACAAATGCCTGTATACACTGATATAACATAGGTAGTTTTCCAAATTTTTCACTGTTGGTGGGTTTTGAACTTTCAACCTACTACTTGGAAGGTTGACAAATTATCCACTTCACTAAGTCACCACATCCATAAATATTAGCATAATTAAAGTATAGATTAAAAAAAAAATTATGCTATTTGGCAAAAAAATCAATAAGATTATTTAGAACATTTTTAGTATTTATAAAAGTTAATATATAAATTGTTATATTTAATAATAATTAATAAAATATGCTATATAGACCATGTATTAAATTTAAAAAGTTTTTTAAAATTAGAAATTGTAATATAAATATTAGAATATTTAGTAATAATAAATTAAGAATTTGCATAGATGTTAATCATTAAATTTTAAAAAGTAGTAAAAATAGCTGAAAGAATAGTCATTAGTTTAGCTTTGTAATATGATAATTAAAAATATATTTTAGTAAAAAATTTGTAAATAATTTAATTATTATTATTAGCCTAAACTCAGCTGATAACTATTGTATATTGGTCAGTTCTAATTTTTTTTTTTTTGCTTTCACTAAGACTGTTAGTTATTAGCAGCTACTGTCTTTATTGTAAATTCACTTATAATTATATAACTTGTACAGAGTAACCTTTATATACTATACTAGCAAATAGTGCACAAGTTCCTATACACCTAAGTGGTGTTGTCTAACCTAACTCTGACCTTCTTGTCTGTACATCTGTTAAGCTATTATATATTTTAAAGTATATTACCTAACTGTAAGGCTTTAGAAGACCTCTTTGCTAACTAACTATCTATATTTAATCTTTGCTAATAGAGTTTTCTTGTAAAGAACACTTAGACCTTAGTACTGACTTCAAAATATATTCCTAGTACTTAGCTATACTTTGCTTTAGACTTTAAACTCCTAATTCAGATAGCTCAAAAGAACTGTAACCTGTCTTTAATATCCCAAGGGTCTGCCCTCTAAGATCTTTTTCTTGGTTCAAGACTTTCAGTAGCCTAGTTGGTAATATCTCTTACTGAGATTTTTGTTAGCTCAATTCTTTCTATATAGGTATTTATTTTCTAGATCTAGACTTTACAGTAGTACTGTCAAAGATCTGTACTATCTCTCTATTTGGGTCTTCTCAAGTAGGCTTCAGCTTTCTAGTTCTACAAATTTATACAACCACAAGAACTTAACTTGGATTTGCACTGCCTGATGCTGGTTTGCATTTTTTTGTATAATTCTAACATTGCACAAATGCCCTATAACTTGCTAGTCATATTAGTGCAACTATAGTTACAGATATCTTATCTCAACTGATTAACAGATTGCTGTTGTTATAATATTACTTACCTTCTGTAATACTAATATTATATAGCTGGTTTTCCAAATTTTTACTGTTGGCAGGTTTTAAACTTCCAATCTACCATCTGGAGTTAACAACTTATCCATTTTACTAAGTCACTACACTTTAGTTAGTTTCAATATTAATTATTAAGCTATTAGTATAAAAGTTAAATTTTTGTTAAGAGTTATTAATAATTAAATATAGTTTAAGTATATTTGCTGTTTTACTAGTTTTAAATATTTCAAATACAGAAGAATTAGAAATTAAAATTGTTAAAACTGAAGAAATTAACAATAGCTATTTAACAGCTATTAAATAAATAAGGTCTATATAGTTGGCAATAGCTAATATATTAACTATATATAGATTTTAAATTCTATTAGAGTTAAAATAACAGCCTAAATAGGATAATTATAGTTAGTTTTTTTATTAACATCTTTTTGTACTTAATTTCTTTTCTTTTATTTTTTTAAATAGTGTTTTATATAATACTTGTAATAGGATTTTGGTTTTCTTTTTTTTGAGTCTGTTTTATACTATTACTGTTGATGTTTTTGTATTTATTTTTATAAACTTTTTTGTTTATTATAGCTTAATATATATGCTTGGGTTTTTTTTATTACTTTAACAAACTTGATATTTTATTATTATATATACTTCTAATCTTTTTTTATTTAATTTACTAATATTAATAAACTATTTATTATATACTTAATTATTATATTTTTTTTGTATTTAGTTTTCTTAATATATAATGTATTTTTTTTGTTTTATTTATTTTTTTTAAAAAACTTAACCTATTATAAAGTATATGTTCTTTTTTGGTTTAAATATTTTAATTGATTTTGTTTCTTTTCAACTAGTTCTTATTTTAGCATTTATAATTATTTTACAAAAAAATTTTATAGATATGTTAATTTTCTGTTTTCTTATTTTAGTTAGTATTTTATTTATTACATTTAACTTTTTCTGCATAGTTTATTTATTTATAGTTTGTTTTTTTTTTATAAGAAGATTTGCTTTATTATTCTATTTGTCTTTGCTATGACTTTTGACTTTAATTAATTCTAATTTAGTATTTTTATATTTAACTAATTTTGCAATATTTAATATTTATATTGTATTTTTTTTAAAAATCATTTTATTTTTTGTATTCTATAATGCTTTACTAATATTTCTTATTACAGCATTTCTATCTGTATAAATTTATATATTTTTCTTTTAATATTATTAAAATTATTGTTTATATTCTTATCAGTTCAACTACAAATTTGGCTTAAAATATAGGTTTATTTTAAATTCTGAACTATTGTTAAAACATCTTATAAAAATCAATAACAAATATACCAAAAAATAAAAGATCATAAAGATCAGATATATTTAACTAAAACCAATTTAAGAGTAATATAGTAACAAAAAAGTAAGAAATATGATAAACAATTTATTACTAAATATAGTTGAATTAAAAGACAAAAAAACAAAACTAAATAAAACATATAAGTAAAACATATAGATATAATTGCAGAAGACAGTATCTCTAATACTGAATACTATATTAAGTTTAATAAGTGTTTTTATCTGTATAGTAGTTTAAGTAGTTGCCAAGATAACTGCATGCAGACATGCAGCAAACATGAACTTAGATGCCATATAAGTAAAGTTAGTAGTTTAAAATTAGAATAGCAAGTATAGTATTAATAATAATTAATTCTGTAAATATAACTATAAAATTGTATTATATTAAATTTAGAATCTAATAAACCAACTGGCAGTATTATCAAAGTTTAAAAAAAAATTCTTTTATGTATTGTAGAATCTGAATAGACTCTAACTATTAAAAGGTTTATTAGTAACTTATAAAAAGTTTTTTTTTTTTGGTGTTAAGGTGAGGCCTTGCTCATATCTTTATTAGCAATTTTAGTTGTACATATTAATATACTATATACTAAGATATACTAAGATTGTAAACTACAAAATAAAAATTACATGCAAGAATTAAAGCTCAGACAGTTTTATCTGCAACCTAAACTGAGGATCCGTTAAAGCCAGGTTCGGTCACATGATTGCCGACCTAATCATCCAGAGACTGGAGCGATCATATTACTAATAACGTCCAATCAAATTCAAGATTGATAACTCACCGATATGTTATATAAGGTATATTGGCAAAACTTAAAAATCTGAATAATCGCTTCTTCCCACTTCTTGGTGAAAATGCTACCAGAAAAAAAGACTCTGCAAAAGAAAGCCCGCAGAAAACACCAAGCCAAATTTTAATAATGACTAGCAGTGTATAAACATTCTTTAAAAGAATAGGTCTTCTGTGCATAAAAAAAAAAAAAAAAAAAAAAAATCAAAAAAAAAAAATCATAACCATAGCAAGAGCTTCTTGCAAAGTAATAATGAGTATCACCGACAAAGAGAACTTCCTACAAATAAGTGTAACTGAATCAGTGGATTTGTCGCAGCAAAGGGTTTTCACAAACACCATAGTAACAAACTTGACGGCAGTTCTTACATGTGATCAAAGACGTGCATTACTTTTTAATATTCAACAACTATTCGAAGTGCCGATGAAAGAATTTGACGATGAATGGTGGCCTTTAGTTATGAACTTTTGGGTGAAATATAGTCATAAGAAACTTGTAAATGGAAATTCTTGGAAAACCTTTGTATGTCACTTTGCCAAGCACTTTGAATCAAGTACATGCAAAGAAGACGTTCCAATTGAGAAACGGTGAAAAACCAAAGTTCGAAAAGCAGGCTTATGCCATGCAAAAATAAAGGTATCATGGTATGTTGCCAAGCAAAAAGTGTGTGTTGAACAGTTCCAAGGTTCCCCTGATCACACGCATAATTTGGATGAAAGTAATAAGCTTAAGCACCTCCAAGCTATTAGGACTTTGGTAAAAAAGGAAGCCGTGAAAAATTATCCTGTGCTTACAATAGTAAATGCAGTTAAAGAGTACACATCTGAAAATCTGGACCTTGGTATGAGTGTAAAGGAATTAAGGTGGAGGAAGGTTGCTAATATAAAGTATAAAGTCTGTGGGCCACAAAATATGTATTTTACTGGCACTTCTGAACTAGCACCAGATATCCAAGACTCAATTTCTCTTTTACAAAAAGAAGGATATCAGGTCGAATCATATAAAACCCACTGTCAATCTATCTCCAGTTTTGTTTTTGCACAACCAAAACAACTCAAAAAGCTTCAGTGGTATGGTTGGCTAACCCTTATCGACTCCACACACAAAACCAACAAATATGACTGGCGTTTATTTACGCTGTTTGTTCGGGATGGATATGGATGCTGGAATATTGGCGGGCATTTTTTCGTTAGCAATGAAAATAGCGATAACGTTGCAGAAGCGTTAGTTATAATTAGACGATTTTGTAGAACCTGGAAACCTCGTTATTTTTTGGCAGACCAAAGCAGCATAGAGGCAAAATGTAATGTAAAAGTTTTCCCAGGTCTCACAAAGGGTGAACAGGAATGTGATGTAATTTTCTGCACTATACATATTATGCGGACTTGGATGAATAAAATTTATGAACCAGAAACTCAGAATAAGATGATCCAAGCCATGCATAAATGAACAAAAGTTGGTTGTGAAATGTTCGTTCAAAAATCAATTAATGAATGTGCCCTTTACCCTATTAAACAATATATCACAAGATATTATTCAAAAAATACTCACCAATGGGCCCTTTGGGCCGCCAGCACTTGCCACTACTTTTGCAAGTAACAATGACAAATGCTCTGGAATCGTATCACAGTAAGTTAAAAAGAACAACCTCACCTCAATATTGTCTGGTCGGCGCATGCAATAAGATTATTACACTTGACTTGAAAAAGCAGTTAGATTCGGATTATGTCGCATTCGCGTTTCGGGTTAAAAAAATTTCCGCTGTCGGTGTCAACAATAATATTCTCAAAGAAATTCATAAGTTTCCTTTTCCAGTCCAGAAATTAATAGTTAATGAAGTTTTTGCTGTTAATGATAGAATAGAGAAAGGTAAAGGGTTGCCTGGTCTGATGTCGCTTGAATGCTATTGCCTTTTTTTCCGCAAATATATGCTTCCTTGCAAGCATATCTTTCATGAGCAAATATATGGTTTTAGAAAATTGTTGACGATTAATACTTGGAAAAAATTCCAACAAATGTTCGATGAAAATGGACTTGAAATTTATAAACATCGTGAGTTGGTAAGTTTAGAATCCTTTGAAAAAGATGAGGTCAATAAAGCAGCGGAGAATAGAAAACTTACAGTGAATGAGTTAATGGAAAGAACACGCAATGAGTATTGGAGAATCGAAGAAAATGGAAATGAAGAGGAAAAGGTTGAATTTATTCAAAGGTTAAGATTTTGCTTAGATCCTGTTCTAAAATAATAAAAAGCAAACTTTGTAATTAAATAAAGTAAATAAATAATAAAGAAAATATGTTTTATGACTTCATAGCACTACGGTACCATGGCAAATCATGAAAAATTAATTTTATGTGCTGTATAATTTAAATTATATTTTTTAAGTTATAGATACAAGTCGCTCTCGTTATAGTGAAGTGATCCGTTCCATAGTAAATAAAAATTTTTAAAAGTTTATTATATCTAAGAGGTTATTAGTAAATTCATTATATCGAAAGGATTTTTATATAGATTGGCTTGGGATTTATCTTTACTATACTATAACGAGAGTTCACTATAATGAAAATGACTTGTATTAACCAATAAATTACTGAATCAATTTTTATACTGAATTTTATTATATCATATATTAATTAAAATCATACAATGTAAATTTCTTGGTTTTTTATAAAATAAAAAATAGACATTTTTTTTTAAAAAAATTTATCAACCATTTAATTTATTAAGTATAAAGAATTTATTAATGAACAGAATTAAAAACAGCAAATATGA